CTTGCTATATCTAGTTTATGGAAATGTAAATGAATAAGTGATACGATTATACCACCGCGTAGGGGAGTGAACCAATCATAAGATGAAGATTAAGCCAATCACCGGGAGAATACAAATAGCAAGAGACAACCAATTTTCTCCCAAGGTTCACGTGCTTGCCAACACGCTACGTCCCCATTGAGTCGACCAACACTTGGTGGTTCGGTTGTTAAGAGGTGTTTCACAAACCTCGTCCACACGATTGGACACCACAAGAACCTACCCACAAGTGAGGTAACTCAATGACACGAGCAATTTACTAGAGTTACCTTTCAGCGCTCTACCGGGGAAGGTACAACTCCCCTCACAATCACCGGAGATGGCCACGCACAATCACCAACTCGTGCCAATCCTTCACTGCTGCTCCAACCGTCTAGGTGGTGGCAACCACCAAGAGAAACAAGCGAAATCTACAGCGCAACATGAATGCCAAGTGCCTCTAGATGCAATCACTTAAGCAATGCACTTGGATTCTCTCCCAATCTCACAATGATAATGGATCAATGATGGAGATGATTGGGAGGGCTTTGGCTAAGCTCACAAGGTTGCTATGTCAATGAAAATGGCCAAGAGAGAGAGCTTGAACCGGCCATGGGGCTTAAATAGAAACCCCACAAAATAGAGTCGTTTTACCCCTTCACTGGGCACAACGCGGGCTGACTGGACGCTCCGGTCATGCTGACCGGACTCTGGACCCAGCGTCCGGTCAACCGATTTAAGCCACGTGTCATTCTGAGTTAAACCTGAGCCGCCAGATTTCAACAGCTATTAACTGACCGGACGCTCCGGCAAAACTGATCGGACACTGGAGCCTCAGCGTCCGGTCGTTTATAGTAAGCTCACCGAGGCATTTTTTCACGACCGACGCGTCCGGTCGACCTTGACCGGACACAGCCCAGCGTCCGGTGCATTACCCTAGTCACTATGCAGCCACGTCAGCAGCGACCGGACGCAGCAGCCAGCGTCCGGTCAGTAGACCAACGCCGGCGTCTTCACTGCCACGCCTGACCAGACGCGCCGATCCATCCATGACCAGCGTCCGGTCATAGTGTAAACAGCAAGACTGGCCTCATTTCTCCTCTATCTTCTTCACCCTTGCTCAAATGTGCTAACCACCAAGTGTATCACCTTGTGCACATGTGTTAGCATATTTTCATAAACATTTTCAAGGGTGTTAGCATTCCACTAGATCCTAAATGCATATGCAATGAGTTAGAGCATCTAGTGGCACTTTGACAACCGCATTTTGATATGAGTTTCACCCCTCTTAATAGTACGGCTATCAATCCTAAATGTGATCACACTCTCTAAGTGTCTTGATCACTAAAACAAAATGGCTCCTATCAATTATACCTTTGCCTTGAGCCTTTTGTTTTTCTCTTTCTTCTTTTCCAAGTTTAAGCACTTGATCATTACCATGCCATCACCATTGTCATGATCTTCATCATTGCTTCATCTCTTGGAGTAGTGCTACCTATCTCATAATCACTTTGATAAACTAGGTTAGCATTTAGGGTTTCATCAATTAACCAAAACCAAACTAGAGCTTTCAGTGGCGCGGCAAGTTGAGTGGTTTACTCCTTGAAAAATGTTTGTGAAAAGCTAACACACGTGCACAAGGTGTTGTACACTTGGTGGTGTTAGCACATTTGCAAAGGAGAAGAAGTTGGTGAAGAAAAGAAGTTAAATGCGCTGGTCACAGGGTGACCGGACGCGTCCGATATGAGTACCGGACACGTCTGGTATCTGTCTCAGGCGGCAGTGTTCCCGATGTGACCGGACGCTTCCGATATCAATACCGAACGCGTCCGGTATTCTGACCAGGCGTGGGCAGAGTTGTTGAGGTGACCGGACTCTGGCTCAGTGGAGTGACCGGACGCTGACGAGTTACTGTTTAGCGTTAGGTCAAAGTGATATACCCGAAGCAGGATTGCAAAGAGCGACCGGACGCGTCCGGTGTGAACCGGCAAGTCTCAGGTTTTCAGCGAAATAATTGATCGGACGCTGGGAGTGTCCGGTCCGGTGTGATCGGACGCGTTCGGTCGGCCCAGAGCGGCTCTGGGAGCTCTCTGGACTCGACCGGACACTGCGTCTCCCACATCCGGTCGCTTTCTAACAGTGCGTCCGATGCGTCACGTCAGAGCGTGTCAGAGAGGTCCATTGGGTAGCAACATCTAGTTCATTTGAATGGGACACGTGGCGGTTAACCAGTGACCAGACGCAGCGATCGGACGCGTCCGGTGCACATGACCTGCCCGTCTGGTCATCCCAAAAATGCCTAGTGAAGGGGTAACGGCTATTTTAGCCCGTGGGGCTATAAATAGAAGTGTTGGTTGGCCTTTGGCCGAGAGGAGAGAAGAGCTGAGCACCCTTGAGCCTTGGTGGCTTGTGTAAGTGTGCTTGGAAGCCCTCTAACTCACTTGAGCTTGATAGTGTTCATCCGATCGAGTGAGTGAGTGATTCTAGTGCGATTGCATCATGAGGTTGCATCGAGTGGCACTAGGTGATCGAGTTGCAAGCCGGTGGTGCTTGTTACTCTTGGAGGTTGCCACCTCCTAGATGGCTTGGTGGTGGTCTCCGTCAAAGCCCGCAAGAAGCTTGTGCGGTGCTCCGGAGAAGAGCTTTGTGAGGGGCATTGTGCTCGCCCCGCAGGAGCCGCGAAGAGCAACTCTAGTAGAGCGAGACGCAAAGGACGACAAGTGGTCCGGCCGGGTCAAGTGCTAGAGCTTGTGGTAAGCACTCCACGTGGGAGAGTGTGACTTGCGGGTCACCACTAGCAAGAGAACCGGCGGCAACCTTGGAGCTTGTCTCAACGAGGACTAGCGTGTTGGCAAGCACATGAACCTTGGGACAAAAATCATCGTGTCATCCTTGTATTCCCGTTGGTTTGTATCCTCGTTACACAAGCTTGTATTTACATTTCATATACATTGTGCTTGTGTAGTTGCTCTTATAATTAGTTAGCTCGTGTAGCTCACTAGTTACCTTCTTACTTGTGTAGCATAGAAGTAGCTCCCTTGCGTGGCTAATTTGGTATGTGTAAGCTTGTTAGTCACATTGCTTAGTTTGTGTAGCTAAGTATTTGCGCTCTCTAATTGGGCACTGGTTGCCTTGCTATTGAGCATTGCTAGTGAGCTTAGGTGGCTTTGTGCTTTTGCTTACTAGCATGTGTAGGAGCTTCCTCATTGCTTGAAGTACTAGTGGCATAGGTTTGTGTGACCTTGCTTCTAGAATTGGTTAGGTGAGCTCTAGCTAGGCCGGCACCTTTGTTGTCTAATTAGGATCTTTATAAGGTGCTTGTGAATTTCGATAGAGGGGTGTAGTCTTGGCTAGACCGATAGTTTTAATTCCGCATTTGTTTCGGTTAGCCAACGCGATTAAGTTTAAGAAATGACTATTCACTCCCCTCTAGTCCGCCATCTCGACCCTACAGGCTCCTGAACGAAGGTTCGCTGACGAAGTCCCGCACCGAAAAGGTCTGCTGACGAAGGACGGAGAAGGTCTGTTGATGAAGGCCGGAGAAGGTCTGTTGACGAAGGCTTGGGCGGAGAAAGTTTGTTGACGAAGGCCGGAGAAGATGACGAAGGCCAGAGAAGGTCTGTTGACGAATGCTGGAAAAGGTCGGTTGATGAAGGCCGGAGAAGGTTTGTTGACGAAGGTTGGGGAAGGTTTGTTGACGAAGGTCGGAGAAGGTCTGTTGACGAAGGCTTCAACTTCCAGCTCTCCTGAACAAATTCGTGCTAAGCACGGTGGGCGTCAATGTTGGGAAAACGGTTCCCGAACAGGTTTAGGAGAAGAGAGTGGAAAGAAGCGGCTAGGGTTTGTCAACAAGAGTCGGAAGGGAGAGCCCCCTTGCCTTCATGTTTTTGGCTTTAGATAGGTAAGTGGAAATTTACGAGCGACCCCTCGGTGGGGGTGGGTTTTACATGCCACTCCAATAGCGCTAGTTAGGCCTCTTCCAGGGGACTTGCCTATATGAATATGGCATGTCCCGACAGTAGTTGTTAGCAATGTTGATAGCTATATTTTCATAGGATTAGCTTTTTTTTAATTATTATTTCTCAAATCTTCAGGTCTGAGGACAAACACAATACCAGATATTGTCTAGTTGGTGTCATTGAGCACGTTGGGAGCTCCATAGCGGTGGGGCGCTGCGTCGCTTATGTGAGAGGAAGCAGGATTGCAAGTGAGCAGGAGCGGAGCAGCAGCCCTTCTTCCTCATGGTTCTGTGCAGAGGATGATACCGTCAGAGAAGTCTCTCTGGATGAAGTCCTCGAGCGCGAGGCTTTCCTTCTTTTCTATGAGAGGGTAGAAGATTGAGGCAATCACATGCTTTGGTTGGCCAAGGATCCAGTCGAGTGCGCACATACTATCGTAGAGGCTCTAGTTCAAGTCCATTTATGTTACACGTTTTAGGGAAATTTTGGCTGGTGTTTTCAGTCAGATAATCTGTGAGCAAGATACACAGGCCTTGGTAAAGTTTTGTAACTGATGCTTTTGACTATGTAGTGTAAACTCGGTTGGCATTCCTTTTTCCCTTCACCCTTGCCCCAGAACTGTTCAGGATGTTTTTTCCTGATGGTTTTCATTTTACGGCTTGTATTAGTTTGTTGAATCATTTTGTTGCGTTGTTTTCTGAATGATGATTGGTGAGGTGGCCTAACAGTTCCTAACTAAGTAGTTTATCGGTGTAGGCTCAAGAACTGGTGTTGGTATTCAGAGGAAACAGATCAGATTCCTTGCAACAGTAAATTTTCATTCTAAACAGAAATAACAAGGGCAAATGTTAATTCCAGTAACACGCTTTGTCACACTGCACACAGTGCGCATCTCCATATACAGCTCCGTCAAGACGGTCATCTTATCATTAACAGATTTTGACAATGCTGTCAAAGAGCACACGCACTTTATTATTGTGTGACCCAGGCTTGGAACCACAGGATTGATCACCTCGTCCGTCATCACTCCATGATCTCAACGACAGCTCGCCCGACAATCTTGCCCTGATTGAGATCCTCGTAGGCGCCATTCACCTCCTCAAACTTGCATTTCCTTGATATGGTGTTCTGGAGATTGAAGGCGCCACTCTCTGCGAGCTTCACTATCTGAGGAAGATCTTGCCTGGCCCTTGCGCCGTATGAACCAATGATTTTCACCTGGTTCCAAGTAAACATGAGAGGATGAACAAGGAACCATGCATGCAATGCAATACAAAGGTGGAAGCCAGCCGATTGCGTACCTGTCGTCGGACGAGACGGGTTATATCGACCTCCCCCATTACGTTTACTGCAGCAAGCCCGATCATAACAGCTTTGCCTCCATCACGTACGCTTTTGGCGCACTGGGAAAATGTTAATGCCTTACCAAGTGCCTCTATAGCCACATCCACACCCCTACCATCAGTAATTTCCTGTGAACAGCAAGGCATTCACATGATCACATCTGAATAGGATCAATATATAGCTGAAAAGTTCAATATGCACATTTTGACACAGCCCACTGGAAGAGAAAGAAAACTGAAAAAAAAAAAAGATAAGCAATGGCAGGACTTATAATGAAGTAGATATATAGAACTAGTTTCTGAACTTCATTGATAGATCACAAACTTTGACAATCGACACATACCTTTATCCTTTCAACTGCATCCTCTTTTGCTGCATTTACAGTGTGAGTTGCGCCAAGTGTTCTAGCGTTCTGGAGTTTCTCATCAAGAACATCCACTGCAATGACTTCAGAAGCTCCAAAGGCTTTTGCTATCTGTAAACAGCTGCAAAGCAAAAGATCTACTTTTAATAAGATACAAGTAAGAGGGAAGAAGAATGGTCATGTTTGTGCTTTCATAAGATCCTAAAATTTATCAGGGATCAACTGACCTTGATCCAACCCCTCCAACTCCGATCACAGCTACCGAATCACCCGCCCGCATTTCAGCAGCGTGCCTCAGGGCACCATACGCGGTAAACACTGCACATCCTAAAATCGCTGATTCTGTGTATGGCAACGAGTCAGGGAGAACTGCTAGCGCATTGGCTGGCACGACGCAATACTCTGCAAGCCCTCCCATACTGTACATGTACACCGGTTTCCCTGCAGATGGAAAATTTCAGAGCCTAGTACAATAATAATGCAGTGCTACTGATGTATGATGAGAATATGTTTCCTCATGTTACCATTGCCCCTTAGAAACAGCCGTGTTTCGCCATCATAGAGCGTCCCCTTGGCACGATTATACGCGAAGAAAGACTCGCACAGATCTTCTTGGCCCTGTATCAAATCAATGCATATGAGCATAATAAGCAAGAAAAGCATTGAAACAGGGGTGGGGAAAAGGGATGCCATAATTCAACGAAGAAGATGTACCTTAACACAGTAGAAGCAGTTCCCACATGGCATGATGAATGCGCCAACAACGTGACTTCCGACTGGGAACCTGAAACGTTTTCAGATAAGGAACCATCAATTCTGAAACGAAGACAGCACCTCATGTCTGACGAACTGAATTAACAGCCCCTGGTGGTGTACGGTAACAACAAATCTGTCACCTCGGGCTGTAGTGGTTCTCTATGGCTATGAAGCATATGAAGTTTGGTTTCATGGATATATATACCATACCTGTTGATGATCTCAGCAGGAGTGTGCGTGCCATGGTCGACGACCTCTCCGGTGATCTCATGGCCCACGACACAGGGGCTGGAGAAAGGGAGCTCGCCTTTCAAGACATGGAGATCGGAGTGGCAGACCCCGCAGGCTGCACCAAGTTGGTGAACACCACCATGTCAACGTGAGACGAAGATGCTGGGAATCAGATCAGTTCATCGAAACAAATCCCCAAGATTCCAATCTGCCGCGCTGCACTCTCATGGTTGGGACTCTAGTGAAGCATCGGCGGCGCGCAATCACCAAATCAAGCAGCTTTTGCATTTGGTTATCCAAAGCAGCCTCTATCACTAGCAACCAATGGACGCGGCATGGGACGAGTCGCAATTCAGAATTAGGGAGAGAGGTAGCCGAGTTTGGCTCATCTGGATTGGAAGTAGAAGCGTAGCGTAGCGACAATGTGATGCAAGAAGCAGCGGGGGGGGGAGGGAGGGAGGAAAGGCGGGACCTTTGGTCTTGATGAGGAGCTCGCCGGCCTTGGGGCGCGGCATGCGGAACTCCTCGAGCGTGAGCGGGCGGCCGGGCTCCCAGAAGATGGCGCCGCGCATGTAACTGGGCCCGCCCGCGACGTGGTACCCCGCGGCGTCGGCGGCGGCGGCGGCATCGGAGAAGGAGCGGCGGAGGAGCGCGCCGCCGATCCGGCGGAGGAGGGCGCGCGAGGACATGGCCATGGCCTGGACGGCTGGACCAACTGAACTCAACTGCAGGTGCAGAGTGGATGGAGCAGTCAACCAAGCAAAGCTTCCTTGGAGTGGAGTGAGTGGCTCAGCTACTGCCTGGCACACTTCACTTGAACAAGCAGAGTTTGGCATCAATGGATTTGGATTGACATAAAATAATTCTACGCAATCCATAGTAGGTCACGAACTTGTGATGTGACAAAGGTTTCTCCCGATTTTTACTTGGAAGGAAAAGAAATGATCTTGTATTTGCGATGTGATGTAGTTCCTCTCGGTTCTTGAAAAAAAATACGCATCTCATTTTTTTTTAAATGTCATTTTATTTCTGTAAATATGACTAAATATATATAAACTAATATTTATGATATAATATTTTTATAATAAACATATTTAGAGATACAGATAGTGATATTTTTTATATAAATATACTTAAAAGAATTTTGACTTCTTGAAACTGAGGGAGTAATTCTTGTCGTATCCTTTTGTTCAATCCTTTGACCACAAAACAGAGAGTTGTTTCTTACCTTAAAATTTTGGGATGGGCTAGCAGGAAAGAAAGCGGCGGCAATTGGTCACAAGTGTCGTCTAATTTATTCGGAGAGACAATAGGACGAACTTGGTGATGAGGTAGGCTGTGACCCAACCACACAAGGGCTGCTATGAGCCTATATAATATACATTATATACAAGTAAAGTAGTTTGATTATTGCTAGTACTAGTATTATGCTGGTGATTATACAAGTACCTATCTAGCTCCATAGCAGCCTTTGGCATGGATAAGGATTTCGTCCATCCAATCCAATTGTGCTTCACATGAATCCCTATTAAAAAACAGATTATCTTCAACTCGGTCCGGTGTTAATAATGCAAACAATTACCGACCACTCCTCCAAATGCAGACACTCAAGAAGAAAAAGAGATGCAGCGGTGTGCTATTGTGAAGTGGCTGTCATGGATATGAATCGGTGGCACAAGGGTGTCATGACATTTCGCCCTCCTCCCATAATAAAACTGCACGCTCCTAGATAGACTGCTAGTTCGATATGAATGATTAGCTAGCACACTTCGTGGGTTAGGCAATTTCACTCATCCTTCCTAGAGCGAGGGCACTTGAGACTTTTCTCTCGCAACAAAAAGCAGCGAATATGAGACAAAAGGAGAATGGCTGAGGGGGTAGGGAGGGTCGAAGTGTCATTTATAGCACCTAGGTAAGTCTTGGAACCAAGTCCAGTGGCCTGGCGTAAAAAAAAATCCATCTTTTTGCCTTGGCGGTAAACAGGGTCGTGGGAAGGCTCATAAAATAATTCTTACGCAATCCATAGTAGGTCAACCTAGTGATGTGACAAAGCACTTCTCCGATTTTTTACTTGGAAGGAAAAGAAATGGTCTGGTATTTGCGAATGTAGCTTGGGGGGTTCTTGAAAAAAGTGTCATGGCAATAATCAATATGAAGGTACCATCTTTTTAACTTGTAGTAGGTGACAAAAGGCCAAAGGTCTCTCCGATTTTAAAGGAAAAGAAATGGTCTGGTATTTGCGATGTGATGTAGTTCCTCTCGGTTCTTGATGGTATCATTTTTTAAATGTCATTTTATTTCTGTAAATATGACTAAATATATATAAACTAATATTTATGATACAATATTTTTATAATAAACATATTTAGAGATACAGATAGCGGTATTATTTTTTTATATAAATATACTTAAAAGAATTTTGAAATTCTTGTCGTATCCTTTTGTTCAATCCTTTGACCACAAAACAGAGAGTTGTTTCTTACCTTAAAAATTTGGGATGCGCTTTTTCTTGGTCACAAGTGTCGTCTTTTATTCGGAGAGACAATAGGACGAACTTGGTGATGAGGTAGGCTGTGACCCAACCACACAAGGGGCTGCTATGAGCCTATATAATATACATTATATACAAGTAAAGTAGTTTGATTATTGCTAGTACTAGTATTATGCTGGTGATTATACAAGTACCTATCTAGCTCCATAGCAGCCTTTAGCATGGGTAAGGATTACCGCAGTCCAATTGTGCTTCACATGAATCCCTATTAAAAACAGATTATCTTCAACTCGGTCCGGTGTTAATAATGCAAACAATTCCCACTCCTCCGAATGCAGACACTCAAGACTGCCGGCGGCTAGGAAGTCAGAATCAATCCTATTATTATTTTTCAGTCATGGAACAGTGTTTTTTTCTCACAACAAATCAGCTCTACAAATCAACCGTAACAACAATAAGTCATGCCGAACAGAGCCGAATCAGAAGCCAGCTAACAGTCTTGTGCTGCAAAATACTCAATTCATCCTTAAAACAATGTATTGTTTTCGTTTGAACCAAGTCAACCTTTTTAAGTTTCGTAAAGCAAACGGGAATTGCAAAAAAAATTACCAAGAGGTTAATTAACTTACAAAATCTAGGTATCTTGCTTGATCTACTATACATGTTCCTAGTGTAGGTGTTGTATGAATTATAATCAACCATGAATGAGTTGCGACAATTGGACACTCTCTGTCTTGTGCAATTTGATTTCTCTCTCAAGGAAGACATTTCATTTGCCACTTGTGGCTTCCACTGCTCTAGACGATGTCTCAATCCTTTCATAAGGAGGAAAAGTTCACATAGCTTCTAAATGTATACATAACCTCTTAGTCTCAGCTATAAATCATAGTGCCATAGCCTTCAAGTATCTAATACCTTTTGAAATGATATCTAGATGTTTTTAGGGCTATTTTGTCGTTTTGTAGGCTGACATGATTACCCATGCTTGCATCCAATCAAGCTAGCCTAAAATACCCATGTTTGTACAAAATCTAATACCTATTTGTAAGTTTTAAGGTTTTTTTTTTTTCTTACCCATGCTTGCATCTTTTATTTGTTTGTACAAAAGCCTATTTGTAAGTGTTTTTTTTTATTTTTTTCTTTTATTTTTGACCCCTCGTCCTCACTGCTCCCTCTAGACCTGAGCAGAAGTCGACACAAAGCATGTTTAAGATAGGCCTAAAAAGACCAATTCACTTGAGCCTAGATTTTGCGCCCACATCCGTCTAGCGGTCTAGGCTTTGCCATGAGTTTTAAGTGTGAAAACTAATGGAATTAATGTTTCATTTTTTTTTTTTTGGGCAGCGATACCTTAGTCTAGGCCCTGTCCAATAAGACTTGAGGGCTGGGCCGAGCCAAATTTAGGAAAGTTTCCTTTCCTGTAAAGTTTCATAAAGCATTGAACAATTGTTTCATGAAATCGCCACCAAAACCACCCAAGATGCAAATGGCTTAAATAGCGTAGAGAGGACCAATATGTCTTCGATTGATTCAATGAGGAAGCACGCAAGGCAAAAATGACACTTGTGGGGGAGGGTGGGGGGAGTCTATCTAACTTTCCTCAACTGTTGTGTGAGTATGATTTACCTCCCTTAATTAGAAAATTGGATTATTAGACTCCTCTAACTTTTGGAACCCTCAAATTTACCTCCCTATACTGTTTTGAAAACGATTTTGTCTAACTTGGCGCCACCTCAGTCACAAGGGAGGTACTAAGGACTTTTGCGATAGTTTAGGAGGTCAATTAGAATTTATAAAAACACTATAGAAATAATTATGTAAATATTTTTATACAGAATAAATATGGATTTAAAAATACTAAAATCTGATTCAATATTTAAAAAAATATAGGATATTTGTTTTGGCTCAGGTAAAAACTGCTTTCACCAGTAGAATTATAATTTTCTTAAAGAATCATTACCATTGATAGAATGATAGCCAGGACTCGATCATGTTGAGAGAAAAATGACTTTTTCTTAGGGGACTACATGGTGTACTAAATGGGCCGCCGATCTCTGCCGAAATTTATCGAACGCTGCAACATTTCGGCCCAAAACTGATTCGTCGACCTCATCAATGCAACCTTTTGCGAATTGCGATGGTGACGCCAGCAGCCAATTTGTTTGTACTTGTACCCTTATGTTTATGCCTGCTGCAACTTGCGCTTCTCACTCTCCCTTCCCTTCTCCCTCCTCCTCTTTCTACTACTACTAAAAAATACTCTCCCTCTCCTCCTATCCTATACTATACTGGTGCCAGATTGCTTCCGCATTCCCTTCCCTTCCCTTCCTCCTGCATTTCCTCCTCCTCCTCCGCCCCGTTCGTCGCGACGGACGGCCGCCGAGGTCTTCGCCGGCGACCACCGCCCCACCGGGTACAGGTACGTGTGCCAGCCCCGCCCCACGCCGTCTCCCCCCTTCACTCCCCGCCGTGCGTCAGCGTAACCGGCCACCTAAACCCTAGCTGGATCTGATCTAATCAAACGCCTGTCTGTATACTCCGTGTATTATGCCTACTGACAACTTTGCTTTGCTATTTCCTCTTCTTCTTCTTGTTTTTGCAAAAATTACCGAGTGTATTTACTGTGTCCGCTGCGCACCTCTGATTCGGCGGATCAGCCGACCCTGATCGCGCGATTAGCCGCGCCGATCGTGGCTCCTGGGTGCTCCGCGTAGCTAGTGCTCGCCGTATGTTTTCAGAGCCTTGTTGTTCTACCCATACAGCCTCGGTAATGATCTCGGCAAGGAGGCAGTAAAGTGACTGACCGGCTGTGCTGTTTTATTTTGCGTCTAGCCAATGCAGTGTGTGTGCCTCGACCGTTGCTCGCCTAATTGTTTGCTATGTCATGTGCGTACCGAGGTTTGTGTATGTTTATATATGTCTGTAGTTACCGCATTTGATTTAAGTGCAGAAATGCACACTGTTAGATTCACTGTTGTGGTGGTCATGCCTTTTTTTCCCCCCTTACTGCTCTCAGTAATTTGCCCACTTAAAAGCTACTAGGTTCTTCGTTCATGGCAAGAGGAGTAGGTGTGCCTGTTGGCACTGAACCTGACATGCTCGAACTATTGTGCCATACATTTATTATTCTTGGTTGGCACTAAAGCACCACCATACACGCATTAATTAATCTTGCAATCGTAAGCACATACAAATATGAACGGA